AACCTCCCCTTACCGACTTCGAGTGCGTTGACTCAAAGTCTACGTATCTGCGAATAATGCTATGATTTCCCATAGATACTAGTATCTAACCCACCCACCGGATAAAACTGTGAAGAACTTACGGATATGTTTCGAATAGACACAGTGAATGTTTGTTTCAAATATCTTTATCATAGTCCAGGAACAGAGACGCTTTATGTTCCCAACTTTTGATAAATATGCCTGCTTCTACTATTGATATTAGTAATCTCTCAGTCACCCCATTTATTTATTTCTATATTTCGTCTTAAAACTTAAATACATGGGAGATGGGACGTAAGTGAACACCTAGTATTACTTCTGCGGCGGAGACTTAAGTCATATTTATGAGTTCATAAAGAATATTCGACCCGTCCGTCACTCCTTTGAGAACTATATTTACTTGAATGTTAGTACAGAAATTTAACACTTCAAAAATAATCTGATTTTATAATTTTCTACTTGATTTTGCTGTGGGCTTTGTCTTATTTCATGTGTCAGTTAGTCTCGCATTTGAAGTCAGTTTAATATATATATATATATATATATATATATAATGGCTGAACACAAGAGTATTCGACAACAGAATTATTTATTAGCAACTCGACGTACAGATATAGGCTTAATACGCTTTTCATATATTAGAATCACAATTTGCACATATCTTCGGTATTGTGCTGCTATTGTACCCGTATTGTGCTTCTTTGTCTTCCTTCCATGTTTTCTATGTTGTTTCGCAAGCGTCGTTCATTCTTCTATTTGCCATTAAATCCATCTCTCCGCTATTCGATATTCCTCCAGATCAAATGCATATTTGCATCTGTATATATATACTACTAACAAACAATGTCAGTAGCACGTCACAATATTAGTTATTTAAACTGATCACAAGTCGGAGTTCTTAATTTCTAATTAGTTTCTTATTTAAGGCAAAGATAGTTTACGGTGGTTTTCGTAAATATGTCATACATTAATGGTACGATACTCACTAGGATCAACTCAAGTAGTTGTTCCTGAAAAGAGTAGTTATTTCTGATAAACGACTATCATCAGACGGTAGTAGAAATACAGTTCTAATTAGTAGTGTGGTTGTCGTTGATATAACAACGCACTTTTACTTTATAAATACGATTCCGAAAGGCAAGCCACTAGGACCCGACTCAGTTGCCCATGACTTCCAACCTGCACCGATTCGTGATTTTAGGGCAACTACCAGCTAATGTCATCGGCGGGTATTTTTCCTCATCGCCAACTGAGTGGACCCCACTGGTCACGAATTCTTACTAGAATTCAGGGCAACTTCATGATACAGCCAGTAACTAGCAAGCATCAGACTGACTTTCAGGAGTTTTTTTGGGGGGACTTTTCTTTCCTCTGATACCAATCTGTGGTCGTAACTGAAACAAATCAAATCCATAAAGACATACTCCTGAAAAACACTCAGATTTTCAGTAGGTGAGGTGTTTATGAGAACAAGAGTGCAGTTACCCAACACTTGACCTCACAAACTACCTTTCTAGCTTTCACACAAGTGGTGGCCCTTTATCATAGATTAAGTTTAGAAAAACGCACACATACTTTACAATTTCCTGAGAAACTGAGTGCCTTAAACATTCTCGACATATTCTTGATGTTTTTTGGCATATCTTCTTTATTCACCAAAGTTCTACTTGAAAAGACAACTGAGATAATTTTCGAGTAGCTTGAATTTTCCCCCTATCGAGTGGAAATATAAAAGGACTACAAATGTTTTACACAAAGTTATCAAATTTAATTTCAGTAATGTACTTTATGGGAAGATTAATAGAGTAGACATGAGAAGTCCTTTAGGACTTAGTCTTGGTGATATATTTATGGATAATTTATAAACAAATTAAATAAAATGTGTAACCGGAGAGACTAGCCTTTATAGAAGTTAAGTGTACATTACGTTCGTGATCTACCAGGACACGTACCACGCTTGTAAATTATCCAACTTTTTCAACAATATGCATAATGACATTAGTTTCAAAATGGAATATGAGCGTAACAACCCATTTCAATTTGATATTTGCACGAGAAGACGAGATGACAGCATAATCCAGAGAGGATTATAGAATAAACACACCTGGACAGAACACTAACTCAGCTATTCCAGTTTCCATCAAATGAAATACAAATAGGGGATAGTCGCATCACTGCTCAAAATAACGTTAAAACTTTCCTTTGCAGACAGACTGCATGAAAAGTTGGACCTTCTTGAAAAGTATGTGTGTGAAGACAGGTATCCTAAGAAATTCTTTCGTTTCTATGGTGGAATTTGTGGTAATGGAAAGAGCTTCGCTTCAGTAGGGAAAAAGTCAGTATTTGTCCTGTTGACTTCCAAAGAATGTGATGCGTCACACTGAATTAACAAAAGACTAAGAGTTGTTCTTGTTACAGCCTATCTGACTGCCCCATTTATTCCTGTTTGCATCACTGTTTGCTCGCTTTATCAATCCAGAGTGGACAGGTACTCGTCAGAAATAACCTCCAATTGTTTACAGACGTATATGTAATTGCCAGAGAAAGTATATTAGAAGGACAGAAACATGTTTACCAGTCCCTTACAAGGAATGAAAAGAACAAAATCGATATTACGACCTTCAAACTTTTATCATATGATGGGGAAGATTTGTATCTCAGGTGGATGATTTTGATGTGGTTGTGTCCTTTGAGCTGGATAATTCATTTGCGAAGCTTTCATTGCCCTACTAGGAAACATCTTCAGCGCATACTTCAATTTGAAGTGAACTTTTAGATTTCTTCACGAGCTTCGCAAATAAACTATCCATCTCACAGAACACAACTGCATCAAAAAACTTATATCAGTAAGCAAAGAAATCCAACATTACTTCATTTTGTTTAGTCATGATTAATCTCAAAATTATCTTGGTGACTATAATTCGACTTATTAAATAAGCATGCACTGTGTTTTCCATTATTATTATTATTGTTTTTATTGTGCGCCCATTTGTCTTAACTCATTTGATGGCATATCATTCCCAAATGCTTTCTTGTACATTACATTATTACACAATCTTCTCCCTGTGTATTGATCGTCAGTTGATATTTCGTTGTAGCCATTTAACAAAACTTCACGGATCTTCCACCTAACTTAGTGCACATAACTAGCTATTTTTTTGTGCAAACTACTATTACATTTCACTGTTTGCTATTTCGTAAAATTACAACCCTCATTTTTAGTTTTTGCGTAGGAGAAAAAATGTACTTCCTTATCTCATTAGTCCTGCCTACATTCCAGGCTATTGTAGCTGAAGAGAAAATGAGCACATTTTATACTGCAAATCTTGTTCTTTTTGCTATGGTGAAGATGAACAAGAAAACACGTTGCCTGAAAAAAATATCTGTGTTGGTGCGGATATCACTTTTGATTTTACACTAGTAACTAGTGTGATGCGTCTAGTCCTCTCTTTGGTGCAGGCTGAATTCTATCAGTCAGGTTGTAATGTGGCCACCATTCTAGGTAGCTCGCCATCACGGTGTACATTGTTTGTGAAGATATTAGATTGTTGAAGGCAATCGGCAGGAGGCCGTGGATCTAGGTTTCATCCTGGTTGGCACTCGTCAGCAAGGCGTATCTGCAACCTTGAAGGAACTCATGTCTCTTCTGAGATTCGAACCTGCGTCACCCATCTCAGAAGAGACATGAGTTCCTTCAAGGTTGCAGATACGCCTTGCTGACGAGTGCCAACTAGCACGAAACCTAGGTCCAAGGCTTCCCGCTGATTGCCTCCAACCATCGGATATCACTTTATTTAATTAAATGAAGAAGTCATTGTGCTCTACCATTTCATTCACTGTCATCAAGTTCAGAGTTGACGCAAACCAGTTGTGTAGCATCATCTAACATTTGTAACATACACCAAAGGTAATTAATTTTTGCTTTGTGGTCATTAAAAGACTGTATTTTATCTCCATCTTTATTTCTTAAATCCAAATAATGTTGGTACTTAAAATCAATTGTATTTTTTTGACTTTTATTCGGTTCTACGGAGATAAAGTATAAGTGAAGTTATGTCAGTCAGTAAATATCAAACAATACTAAATAAAACATTGGCTAACTCCCTCTTAAACCACTAGTTACATTTATTTCAGGTGATGACTTTTCATAAGCGCTTGAACTACTGCATGACTGCCGAGAAGAATTCCTCTATTAATATGATATATTTCCTTGCCAATGTCATCGCAGTAAAGTATTACTATCCATTAACTCATCCAAAAGACAGTTTCTTGATAAAAAAATTCACGCACCACCAGGTATTTCTGCGTTTCAGCACCAATCTAGAACGTTATCATGTAAGGCTTACAAACGTTTACTAAGATTTCGTTAATTTCTTCTTTTAATAATTAAATGTAAACATATTTAACAGTGGGATTAGTAGTGATAATGGGAATAATAATAATAATAGTAATATTCATAATACATGAATGATCTGATGACAGACAATAAGAGATTTAATTTACTTTACTGAATATAAACCACTTACAAAAGAGACAAAAGAAATTCATTCTACAGATTCCTTAAATGGCGTAATGAAATATGATGAAAAACTATTAACGTTATAAAAGGACAAAGATAGAAGAATCTGTGTAATTGTAATGACGAGTAGTTGTTCTTCTCTAATGCATACATGTATGTGAGTATATTGTGCGCATATAGCATTCGTTATTATAGAAGTTTAAAGGGTTGTAAAATTCCAACTATAAGTATGCATGCTTTAGGAGGTGGTGGTGAAGCAGGTTCCACTTACTACTCAACATTGAATTTCATGCAGAAGTTAGAATGACTAATCGTTTAAAGAGGGCTTTTGAAATTTATACAGAAGTTTGACATTGACATTAATGTGGAGTAATAATAACAGGATATTCGTTTTTATGAATTAAAAATGTTTTTGTACACAATTCAACAATCAAACGAACAAATGTATTGTAAAGGTTTTTTAAGATATTCCATAATAATGTCTAGGACTTGAGTAGGGTCTTAGTGATAAAGAATATGTCGGACTTTTATAATTAGGTGAGGAGTATTGAGAAGCACCAGTTGTATACCATTCATTATGAGTCGTCGGTATTTCTAGGGACTGTTTAGGACGATATACACTGAGAAGTTTAGTAGGTTCACGAAACTTTTCACAAGCCCCACGATTCTCTCTTCGACGAAATCGGATAAGTCTGCGTCTCCAGCTTGTGCGCCAGGGTAAAACAGCAGTTTTGGATGAAAACAGCAGTTCGTTTCTCACTTTATTGGTAAAGCTCTCAAAGTCTGTCACTATTAAATATGAAGTACCCAGTTCAATATAAGGGCATTTACACCTTAAATCATTTAATCGAACCCATACAGGAACAAATTCATTTAGCTTCCTATGCATTGCTTCTTCATGTTCATCTTGGTTATTGTGTTCAGAATCAATGAAATTTTTTGAAGCAGGCCAGTAGATAGCTGAACTTCCCTTTAGAGATTGTTTATTGATTCGCCATATTTGTGTTATTTGCATTTCGAAGCGAGCCATGTTTCCATGGAGTTCGCGTGATTTGAAAGAAGCTTCAAAAACTGAGAATGACATAAAAAAGAATGCAAAGTTAAATCAATATTAGCTGAGTTTATTCAGTGAAAACGTATTCAGAACAGGACCGTTTATCTGGTGGAATACTGCCTGAAAATGGCCTTTTTAGCAGTGTATTGTGTTAACTCCCACTTCGTTGTATTCTAGCCAGTGTACGATATTTCACTCACACACCATCCTTGCGACTCCGCCTTTTGTCAAAAATCTACGATTTCTGCCATCTCATTGTGACTATACGGATCTACGAAGACAGATTAAACCTTTTCTTTGTAAAAGGAAATCAGAAATCGTTTATACTTCACATATGAATTGTTTGCGAGTAATATTCTTCAACTAACTTAAGAGAAACGTCAACACATCGTCTAGTGTTCTGTTTAAAATTCAAAAATCTGCTGGTTTTTAAAGTTTGCCTGTATTTTCTAGAAACTCAGTAGAATGAAAAAAAGGTATAAAATGTTGAATACTGAAACGTTTCAAAATGAAGTATTTTTCCAAACTGATTTCAGTTTTGTTGGTGTCCTAGTAACAGTAAGCGCTTTGTAGCATAGTTCAGCGACAGATATGGTAATGGACAAATGAGAAATGACCAAATTAGAAAACAAATGCAGTCAGCAGACGGTTTTTAAAACTTTATCACTTATGCTTCAGTTATTTTTGTCTACAAAATTACACTCATAGAAAGCACAGTTATATGCCTTACCATACATTAAATTTAGGTTTAGAAGAAGCAATACTTAATTAGGTGGGGGTGCATTATGATCCTTTCTAAAATTCACCAGAAACTCATAATGCAGTGATTTCAGGCTTTCATTTGTTTTACGAGAAAAGAATCGTAGGTTGTTAAATTACGATTTACATCACCCTGATGGAGTACAGGGTTTTCATCTGACCAATCCTCTTGATAAGTGATTTACTGGAGGGAAAGATATTTATGTAATGTTGTGAAAAAAGTCGAAAGATACACTGTGAGCTGTGTAAAGGTTCACTCAATATAGGTTAGAAATGCATCCACCATAAATCATTACAATGATAAATAGTTTAATCAAATTCTCAATTTTCAAATTAATTCGCGATTTGAAATTTACACAGTTCGAGGTAAAATTTCACTACAGTTTTCGTTGGAAACCGTCAGGAAACTTCTGATCGAACTGTGTCACTTGCAAATAACGAATTAATTTGAAAATTGAGAATTCGACTCAATGTGTTATAGTTCTCTTAATTAGCTAGCCAGAATTCGGGTGATTTGAATTGATTATGTTCTCTGAGATTAGTCAAACCGTTTACATCACTAATGGGCCCTGCCTCAAGACAGCTAGACAGTCTTCCGGTGCTTCGATTATTTCGATTTGGATGAAAAGTACTAGCGTTCGACGTCAGTTCTCTCAGGCTACTCACTTTTTTTTCCTTCACGTTCCCAGTGGAACATAGGGCTTCAAGCTAATGACTTGAAGTTTCTGTAGCAGTGTTTATTTTTTAGGATGGGGTTGCTAGCCTCATGCCCAATCTTTCCTTTTCACCAGCATTATTTCTGGCTTAGCAACGTAAAGGAGTGCATCGGCCGGGAATCGAACCCCCGACCATGTGCATGGTCGGCGAGCGTCCTAAGCGCTATGCCACCGACGCATGCTCATACCTCGGTAAATATTTGAAGAACAGCATGAATAAACATTTGTTGCGAATTGTAACCAGTTGTTGATTTTAACATCTTGTAGATTATAGAATGAGATATAAGCCGTAATTTATACTTACATTTAAGATATATTTTTAAATTCAAAAAAGTGGTCTAAAAAGCATATCTCTGGGTAAACCTTCATGAAGGTATTTCAAATAAAAATGGTTGAGAAAATGATTATTTTGGATGTTAGTTTATGAAATAATACTCAAATTCTTGCAGATTTGAAAGATGTCTGGAACACTGATTAAGAACTCACTCAATGAATTAGTTAATAAGTTGAAGAAATAATGTTTGGATTCTATTTTTGTCTGACTTTGACAGTCTTCGAATTTCAAGATACTATATACATATAGAAAAATAGGGTGGCAATGGGAATACGGGCACCGACAGTATTACCAGGTGCATTTGTTGGGTTGAGAAAGTAATATTCTCGTAACGTTAATAGTCGCTCCCCAGATATGATGGAGATATGTGAACGACGTATTTGCTGAGCTGAAGTCCCTAATTTATTCACACAATGAGTAAGAGGTCGAAAGGTTCCAGTTCACGTCTTAGTTAGAAAATGAACAAGATGAGTGCCAAAAAAGACGAAAACAGAATGGTGGATTAGATACTAGCATCTATAAACAATTTTCTCACTCCGATAGGTTCAAAAACCTTGAATCATCCTACTTTAAATCCGCAAAGGTAGGTTTAGTTAAATATTGATGTGATCAGGTTAAAAGCCTGATGATTAAGTCCAAAGACTAATTTATTGGAATCAAACAAATAAGGAAAATATTACTATCGAATAAGTACTCAGCCAAATTCGTTTAAAAAATTTATGAGGGGAAGTAGGACCAGTAATGCAGATAACCAGAATAATATAAATAATAGGAGATTCAAAGTCTTGGTAGTACTGCAGTATAGGAAAGGAACGTCAGAGTACCTAAGTAGGATTCTTAATAAGTATGGAATAAGAGGGGAGTCTAAATCAACTAATTCGGAGACAAACTTTTTCGGTCTCAGGATACGGCAGACTGATCCGGGGAAAACGACAACTTAAGAGATATCATCTAGTGCATGTGAAGCCAATAAAATAGGTCAGATTAGGAGACGGCGGTCATTTACGTTATCGGGAAATGAGAATTTAGTCAGACATTAGGCTACTGACCCTGCTAAATTAAGTAACCAAGAAAAAAACTAGGCTATTGTAATGCACCCACTTACATGTAATCACACGATATAGTGGGATAGGGCAAAAGTATTAGGAATTAATATAACTAGGTGAAGCGAAAGCTAAATTACTCCATCCTTGTTAATCCAGCCAATATCATATAAATGGAATATAGACAACACAATACCTGTGCCGGATGTACTGAAAGTTGAATTGAAATCAAGAGGTAGCAAATTTGTATAAATTTAAAAGTCTTATAAGTTATTTGATGTGATTGTGATAGATAATTTCCACTCGAAACGCTGTCTGATTTATAATGTGGTAACAATGCATCATATCAAATAAACTGATGTTATTTGAAATTTCTGTCCATCATCCATGCTAACATACTGATACCAGGTGCATGATGCATTACTCACAAAACCCTCAACAATTAGATGTCTCAGTATGTTGTAATGAAAGAAAAGGAAACACCTTACAACATGATTTATTTCGGCAAAAACCTACGACACACAAGTACACACAGAAAAAGTTCTATGACATTACTCGATCAAAAGCTTAAAGTTGAAGTTGTAACATTTAGAAGTATCTTGATATCAAAATAATAATTTGCCATTGATATTTTTGGCAAAATTAGGACAACATAAAATACAAACACTTTGTGGTTTAGTGAAAGCCGAACAACATTCCTGCAACTAAAAATCATTTGTTTTCGTTTCTTTTAAGCAGTACGTTATTATTACCTGGTGTCCACACTACAATTATTGTGAAATTGTTGTTTTTTCACGATCAACTAATTGAAAATGTCCCTCGAACACATGATTCATGGGATCAATTTAGCTGTATGCATGCAAGAATTTTTTTACATTTTTATAGAAAAAATGATATATGGTCGTTTTGGGACATAGACTCCATAGGTGTTGACTTTTGTAATTGCTTATAAAATGCGATAAATTGCATTACTAAGAAGGTGGAATTTTTCACTTCATCCCATGACAAATACTTAACAACTGGTTTATTTGTCTAATTTATTTTGGTCTAGTAATTTGCTTTGCTATTCTTTCCTCACCTCCCCTCCCTTTCACTTTCCCTACTTCTCTCTCACCATCTCCCTCTCACTTTTAACGCGGAGACGAATTAAATAAATTAGCAGTTAGAAAGACAAATTGGATGAATGCATCGACAAAATGCGTGCACATTCACATTACTTCAGTGTTCTGCAGCTCAATAGACATTGCGTATATTTGTTATCATCACCATCCGACAAGTAAAGGTAGACTAACGTAAACACACTACAAAATGGTACTTATATGAATAAAAACATTACTAATAGTACAGTGGTGAAGTTCTTCTGTATCTCTCCGTTTGAATAAAAACTTAAATTCGTATATTTAGAATACTTATATGTTTGACATTATGTCTAAATGGAAATGAGAAGTTCACTTTGATTTGATTTATCGTTTATGCACATTTTCAAAGGTACACAGTTATGTCTACATATTGACATGTTGACCACACATCTAACGGTGTTCTTATTCATTATTAATTATTATTTTAGTAAGTAAAAGAAGCTGACTTCTTAAGTCACTCACAGGAAACATAATGCATTTTGTTTAGTTGAATTTTATCACAGAAACATCTTCGTATCTGTGTAAACATAAAGTTTTAAAAAAGTCATAAAAACGATAAAGCGCTGATCGTTGTGACGTCTGGAGTCTTAGTAATTATTTTAATTGACTAGAAATCAAGTATTCCAAGTCTGTCGTGATACCTTAGGTGGTGACAAGTGAAGGCTTCCGTAACATTGAATAATTTGTAATTCCTATAGTTTGTGCGTCGGTGGCACAGTGGTTAGGACTCTCGCCGACCATGCACATGGTCCCGGGTTCGATCCCCTGCCAACGCACAGCTGATACCTATGATCAGCCTGCAAAATTTGGGCTACCGATATCACATGCTGAAAATTCCATACCTGTACCAAAAAGTACGGTGTGCAATCAAGCTGTAATCAAAAATAAAAATAAAAAAAATGAAATTCACGACAATTTTAACATATTTAACTCATGAGCTTATTAAACATAATAATTTACGTTTACCTACCTGCATCTTTACGACAGAATTTCTTCAGTTTAATTCTCTCTTTATTTGTACTACACGATGGGCAGTTTATATCCCCTAAAAAGTAAGAAGGTTAACAGAAATTAAACCCAAATATATTTTTAAAAATATTTTGTTATTCCTTTGCACTCCGAGAGGAACATATAGCTTCAACAACACATCTCCACTTTGTTCTGTTTTATGCCGTCCTCTTCAGCTGGGTCCACAATTCACCAAACTCTTTCATCTCTTCCTAACACGATCTCCTCCATGTCACCCTTACACCAACAACCCACTTGTCACTTCCCATTCGGATTCCACTCGAGCAATGGCCTGCATTGCGTGCGATGTCATTCGGCGGCCTCCTTAATGTATTCCCGATCAATCCATCTCCACTTTCTCCTACATATTTGTTGACCGAACAGTTCTTGGTTGGTTTGCTCTCAGCCAGAGTTTCTTGTTACTTATTCTTCCTGGCTGGCCATTCGATCTTCAGTATGGAGTCAGCCACCGAAGCAGGTAGCTGTTGATGAAAGCCTGAAACCTGTTGGAAATCCTTTTCGTGACACGCCAGCCAAGTTTCTTACCCGGATAGAAGGACCGAGGTGACATTGGCATTGAATAGAATCTGAATCTCGTTCCTTATGTTGAGTGCAGAATATTTCCAAACTGGTTTCAGGCTGATGAAGGCGTACGTATCTTGCCTTTCTGATTCTGACTGACTGGCTTTGACATCTTCATCCGTTCTGACTGCCTGTGGTTGAAACGATGCTTGCTAGATAAGTGAAGGAGATAACCTCTGTTAAATCCCTCCCGTTGATGGTGATTGGCGCAGGTTGTTGTTGCTGTCTTTTCTGTGTTCACTTGGAGTCCTGTCTTCACTGCCAACCTCTTCAGCGATTTTTTCGGTTTTCGCTTGCCCGCAAATCTTCGAGTTTATGTGACATTAGACATATATCATCTGCGAAATCCAGATCTTCTAGAGCCTTCTTATCGGTCCTCCAGCGTGTTCCTGTCTCCTCACTCCCTGTGCACAGTCTGAAACATAATCCAGTCCACCACAATTAGCAATACCATCGGTGATAATAGGCAGTCTTATCTTCACTTCGAACGCCCCGCTGAGTTTTCCGTTATGGATCACTTGACACGTGGCATTGTCATTTGGCTGTTGAATGAGGTTGACAAAGATTGATTTCAAAACTCGGGTTATCATCTTCCGTCAGTTCATAATGTGTTGAAATTATCATTAAATAATGTTAAGAAATACCAAAAGTAATTCTTCATCAATCTATTTAAGACAATAACTGATACCGTATCACGGTCTATAATATTCATTTCTTACCATTACTAATGCTTTTTTTTTGTAGAGTTGTGATTTTACTTTGGCTGGAGGCAGAAGAACAACAATAAAACATTTTAAAAATCTCCATGGTACTTGAGTAGATGATATTTGTTTAATAGCTTTCGCTATTCTAAAAAGATTATAGAGTGTGATGCTTTTAGAGGTAAAAATACACTTGGTGAACATTTTATTCAGACGATGGATAGCATAGAGAGCCATTTATTTCCAAGGTGTATAGACGTTTTTGTGATTACTGGTATGTTCAGTCTCGTAAAGTCGAGTTATGTATGCAATGGTCACTTAGTTTTCAATGAGAAAATCTCTTCTTAGTGATAGTGTTAACGGAATGAATAAAAGTCAGGACTCACCTGGTGTATGTGCTAAGGCTACTGCTCGTGAGGCGAAATCTAAAAACAAAGAGAAAAGGTAGAATTACATTTAAGAGTTCATCACAGTGTGATCTAAGTCTTGAAGAGCGTAGACCTATGAAGATAATCATAAATACAACAATCATTCAGTTAGATTTCAATGGAAAATGAAATGTACAGTATCCTCTTGTGAATGTAAGTGTAAACAGTTTAAGTGAAAATTACACGCATTTCCAAAGTAAACGAATGCGACTCAGATAGCCATTTTAAAAAATTCGAAGTTGTTTTTAATCTTTTAGTGGTTTAATTTATATGACTTACTACTCAGTGATATATCTTGTTCTGACTATTGCCCAGTTGCACGGTGATTTGCTAAAAGAGATTGTCATCAGTTGATGGACGGAGAATGCACTGAAAATACTGCATTTTCAAATCAGGTTGATCGTCTGTGAATCTCTGATATGGTGTCGTGCCAATGAGATATAGAATCCTCTGGATAATAATGTGTTTTGTTGATCAGGGTGTGAATGTCCACAGTATACAACGGTCACTGCTGGTTTTTGATTCACAGTCACCTTCTATGATAACCTGTCAGCGAGTGGGTGGCTATACTGCAGCTTTCGACTCTGTTCCTAGGACATTTTTGTTAGGAAAGATGATTTCAGCACAGACAGAGTCCTGGGCAACTAGATGGCTGTCTTCTTATTTTAAGGATAGGAAACAGCATACTGTTTTGGCTGGAAAGCGCTCCTCTTCTCAGCTAACTGAAAGTGGTGTGCCTCAATTTCTGTCTCCATTTCTTTTCTCTTTCTTTTTGCATGACCTTCCGAACTCACCCAAAGTTAACTTCATTAAGTATGCTGATGATCTGACCGTTTCTGTCCCTGTAGTTTCCACATCGGATTGTTCCCATATGAATGGCTTCTTAGCTGAAGTTAAGGATTGGTCTGGCTCAAATGGTCTTAAACTAAATCCAACTAAATGTAATACTGTTGATTTCAGCTTGAGAAGTGAAAAAGACATGCATGGATTGATCCAATCTCATGATTGTTGTAATATTGATGGTACCATGATAGAGAGTAAGTCAAGTGTTTCTTATCTTGGCATTAGTTTCTCTTCAAACCTTTGCTGGTCGTCTCATATTCTTATAGTTTCTAAGAAGATTTTCTGTCTGACTTATTACATAAAGAAGTTGAGGCACTCAGGTATAACCCAATCTCTTCTCATACAATTTATTAATTCTTGTGTTTTGCCCATCATTCTTTATTGTTCTCCATTATTCTCCCCTGGGCTACTCAAGAAAGACCATATAATACTACGAAGAACATTGAAGGCTGTAAGTAGGGTCAGTGCTATCCCTTTGACTCAACTAACCGACACTGTTGTCAATAGGCACATGAATTCTTGTAAACACTTAGCTAAAGTTATTTTGTCTGATAGTGAACATCCTCTTTATTCACATTTGTTTCCTTGTATCTCTTCGGGTAAGACCAGAAGAAATTTCATAAACATTTATGCTCGTACTACAAAATATAAAAATTCGACCGTACCATATTTGGCACGAGTATTGTGTGAAGAGACAAATATCAGAAAAGAACTTTTACAACTTTTAAATCATTAACTAAACTATAAAATGTAATGATGCATATAAATGCATGTGTGATTTGTTATATTATTTATTTATTATTCACTATGACCTAGAAATGGTGTATTTTGTTGGGGTTTTTTATTTTTCCTATTAACTATCAATATTTTAACATTTTATACATTTATATAATTATAAACAGAGGTAAACCATTGCAATATGTCAAAGAAGCGCTGAAAATTCCATGCTGTAAATTGTTATTGTTGTGGAATAAAGTGATTATTATTATTATTATTATTAAAAGTAGGTCTGATCCAGAAACCCTATTCTTATTAACTCAACAAATGTTTAATTTTCTTATCATATTTATGGATTATGAAAATGTGAAAATACTAACTCACTGTCATTTGACAAGTGACCAACAACCTAATTTTTTAAGACTCAGAAAATGGCACTTTTCAACAATTAGGTTCTAACTTAAGCGGAATTTTTTCAGGTGAAATCAAATCACGAGGTATATGTGCACTTCCTAGCCGTCATATCGTGCAGCAGTCTCACTAGACTGCATTTCACTAGTAAAAGATTTTAAACGATCTCACTAGCACTGTAAACATGTGTTGGAAATTCTTTAGTGAAGAATAATGTCATTCCATATTTCCAAGTTACATCGTAGTCATATCATCAAGGTTATGCAAAAACTAACAGATGAATTTCGCAATTCCTAAATCTAGCTTTCTCATGTCTGTATATTCATATATTAAATGTTTATCTTGATATGAGAACAATATTTGGACGGTATATAGGATTTATGTACCTAAAGTAAGATTACCTGTGAATTAACTGAGAAAATAAATTAAAAACTAATTGGACACTTATATATATATTTTAAGGTAACTACTTTGTTAATAGCAGTAATAAAAGTAGTGATAATCATATGAATAATATCACTTAGAGAAGGAGTAACGGGACCATGAAGAAGTTCAAATTACACACAAGCTAAGTAATTTCCTCTAGTGTCTTTTTCTATTGAATCAGTATGATTTATACGAATGTTTTATTCGTTTAGTGATTTTTTCTTAAAAAATTTTCATCACTTATGATATTCTGAACAGTGATGCCCACACTAGTATTGTGTCTCTTTAGTAATATTTTATGTAGTCACACCATTAACATAAATGGAGAAAGAATTATGCTGACATCAGTCGTATAAATCATTACAAGTAAATCTGATTCACTTTCCTATTATGTTCACACTTGTAATAAGATTTATTCGCATAGTTGTTAATATGTATCGTGTCGTTTATTTAAATCACTTTATTCATTTTCAAAAAAAGGTATTAGATTAATTATTCAACATTTTAATAGGTTTCTTTTTGGCATACACTTTAATATAGCTGTAGGACACGTTAGTTGGTGTTTATTAAAGTGTACATGCAATAAAGACTTTTCAAATTGGTTATCAACACTAAACTAACGTGTTGATAAGTGACGGTAGGAACAAAATCAAAGATCAGAGTCTTCTATTACTTGGCTTTAGACTAAATTTTCAAGTATTGGTTTTGTATGGAGTTAGAATTCATGGGCTATTTATTGGATTGGGTCCCAGTGGCTCAATGGTCTACGAGCTCGCCTTGTAACCAAAGGGCCCTGGATTCGAATTCAGGGATGCGAACTTATGAAGAGTCCCAAACCGGTACGAAACAGCTGTCCAGTACTCCCAGGTTTTCCAATGGTTCTCTAACTGACGTCAGCTCATGATGAAATCCTCCATTCAATTTTAACTAAATCACACTAGAAGTCATTAGAAAAATGGCAGAATTTATACAAACCACAGAACTACATCATAACTGGTAAGTGAATTAGGTATTTTACGGGCCTGACTGAAATACTAATATCCTGCTTGAGTAAAAGAAGAATAATTAGAGCCTAGATAAGACGGCAACTAAGCGGTTTCGTTAAAAACAAAGAATGTGTATTTAATTCTTATTTAACGAAGGGGTTAAAGCGTGCATTCGGGGCAGCATTTTCGTACGTCACATGTGATTCATATTCAGCTGACTGTTTACCTAATGTTTATTTTTATAAATATACTGTCCAGCATGCCAGTAATCTTTATTCGACTGTTTCATAAGTAAAAATGCAATAAAAGACTTTCAGTAACCATCCAGTTCAGTGCAAGATGTGAATTGCGTAAACAAATGATCATCGTCACTTAAATTAAGCGTATAATTTTACCTAGGTGTCTCCTAATTGTTCACTTCCTTTCTACAAATGACTTTGACGTTAAGACACCAACACCAAGCTTTTTTATTTTGACTTAAATGTATATACGTATATCTTTTATGTAAACCTTTAAAGAAAGCATATTATTGCTTTACACATAGACTTGATTATTTTGCAGACATATTATTACTGAGTTTTTCAAATTCACTTCACTTTCAAAAGAATGGTTACGGAACAAAGAATACTCTTTTCGATGACTTCATCATCAGGCTCTACATTTATATATACATAATAGAAGTGAATGAATTAGTGTTTTCTTTTCTTATTTTGATTATAGCTTGAAACCACACAGTATTTTTGGTACAAGCATGGAATTTTCAGCACATGATATCGGTAGCCCAAATTTCGCAGGCCGACCATAGATATCAGGTGTGCGTCGGCAGGGGGTCGAACCTTGGACCATGTGCATAGTTGGCGAGAGTCCTAATCTCTGTGCCACCAACGCACAGTCCATGGAATGGATGCTCCTGATAAATGTGACAAAATGTGCAACCATGCGCATTGGACAAGCAAGCACGAGCTCCTACTAACTAGAGGGAATAACACTTCCATCAGTTCAGACTCACTTAGACTTAGGTGTCATAGTTAGCCACGACTTAAAAACTACAGCTCACTGTCGCGCGATGGCTGCACATAGTTTCAGGTCTTTATGGGAAATTCGCAGAGCCTTTACTAGAATCACCAGAGATATGTTCACCTCCTTATATACATCTCTGGTGAGGTCAAGACTGGAAAACTGCATCCAGGCAGCTAGTCCTTGTCTAAAAGGGGACACACACATTCTAGAAAGGGTTCAAAGGAAGGCAACACGTATGGTTCACGACATGACTAACTTACCATACAAGTAAAGACTAGATAGTTTAAATCTCTTCTCCCTGTCATACCGTAGGCAGATAGCAGATTTAATCACAATGTTTAAAATTTTAAATAATGACTACGGAGCTGATCTATTCTCTCTTTTCCTTCCCACCAGGTCGGAACACCTTAGAGGACATAGCAGGAGAGTTCAAAAGCCAAGAAGAAATCATATTGCTGTTGAGTACTGGTTCTCACACCGAGTCATAAACTCTTGGAACCGAATCCAAAAGAAGTGATGTCTGCAACCTCAACTGATTCATTCAAGAAGGGTTTGAACAAGCCCAGAAATTTACTAGAAAAGGATTAGCATAGG